TGTCTAACACGGAAAGAGTAGTTGAGGTCTTAGCAGAGGCAGAGTAAGTAAGGAAGAGAGAGTAAGATTGATGGTATAGAACTGCCTTTATGAAACACACATTCTTTGGTATAAATAAGGAAAGCAACTTGCAATGATTAAAAAGTATTTTGAATCCTGAGTTGTCTTCTAGATTGCTGGCCTCTATTAAAAACTTCTTAAAATAATAGATAGCTTTAATTCTTCACACAAAAGAAAAATTATATCATCTTAGATTTTCTGTATTTATTATATAGATGTGACTTGACTATGGGGGGAAAAAAAAGAACAAAATCTCTTGTATTGCAAGTTTTAAATGTACCAGGCTAAGGTTTACTTAATTAGAACCTCCAGGCAATAAAGGAGCCCTTTTTAAAATTCTGTGATTCTTAATATGCTAAATAATGCAAAGCTTCAACTCTTCAAGCATAAGACACACATCTGGCAGTTTAACATTTAAATTACAGAAGGAAAAAAAATTCCTCACTTCAGTAGTAATTTTCTCAAAGAAAAGAATAGGAAATGTATTACAACTACATTTAATTTCTTTTTGGATTTCCATCCTGTCTAATTGCAGGCATTTTTCTAGGTTTTCTGTATTTGTACTTTTTACATATGCTTTCTGTACATTTTATTAATCTTTAATTTGAGATGCTTCTCACTATTAGAGCTCTTGAAAAACTGGAATATTTTACTTAGCAAATTATTTTGAGAAATACATCTGATCTCTAGTAATAAAAACAGTGGTTTAGAAAATAAAAGGAAAATAAAATCTCAGAGACCCACAAAAATATTACTGATAAAAAGGCAACATTTTTCAGTTAGTTCCACTTTCAGGCTCTAATGTTTTTCAGTATTCGTGTTTTCTCTGTTTTGTCATTTTCTGGCTGCTTTTCATGCAAACATTATTATAAGCAGCGTTCTTTCTTTGTATTTCTCCAAAGGACAGTGTCAGATCCTTGATTAATTTTACAAAGGTCATTTGGAAAAACCATTAAAAATATGCCAAGTAAAAAAGATTAACACAACACAGGGAAAATACACTTTTATAAACATGTGCATTTATATATATATATATATGGCACTGAAACATTATACAGTTTTGACAAGTGTTTTCCTTGTGCACCTCATGCTTTATTAAAAATACGCCTGCTTCATTTATTCTTTTCTGGGTGATTCCAGCTGACACATTCCAAAGGCATCAGCAGGTTACTGTTATTTGTAAACATTTTATCGTTTTCCCAGTGTCAGGTGCTCTGCTATTTAAACTGCATGGAGGTTCCATAGAATAAAGTGGACTTTCAAAGTGATTAACCTGTATCTGTGTCACTAACACATGAACATGCGTGTGAGTTCTGCTGTTGCTGTTCAGTCCCCAAGTCACATCCTACTCGTGACCCCACGGACTGTAGCCCTCCAGGCTTCTCTGTCCATGGGACTTCCCAGCCAAGAACACTGGTTCAGTTCAGTCCCTCACTTGTGTCCGACTCTTTGCGACCCCATGGACTGCAGCACACCAGGCCTCCCTGTCCATCGCCAACTCGTGGAGTTTACTCAAACTCATGTCCATCGAGTCGGTGATGCCATCCAACCCTCTCATCCTCTGTCGTCCCCTTCTCCTGCCTCTAGATTATGGCATTTGGTGCCATCACTTCATGGCAAATAGATGGGGAAACACAGTGGAAACAGTGACAGATTTTATTTTTTTGGAATCCAAAATCACTGCAGATGGTGACTGCAGCCATGAAATTAAAAGATGCTTGCTACTTGGAAGAAAAGCTATGACCAACCTAGACAGCATACTAAAAACCAGATACATTACTTTACCAACAAAGGTTTGTCTAGTCAAAGCTATGGTTTTTTCAGTAGTATGGATGTGAGAGTTGGACTGTAAAGAAAGCTGAGTGCCAAAGAATTGATGCTTTTGATCTGTGGTGTTGAAGAAGACTCTTGAGAGTCCCTTGGACTGCAAGGAGATCCAACCAGTCCATCCTAAAGGAAATCAGTCCTGAATTTTCACTGGAAGGACTGATGCTGAAGCTGAAACTCCAATACTTTGGCACCTGATTTGAAGAACTAAGTCATTTGAAAAGATTACTGGTATGGGTTGCCATTTCCTTCTCTAGGGGATCTTCCAGACCCAGGAATTGAACCTACATCTCCTGCATTGGCAGGCAGACTCTTAACCACTGAGCAACGAGGGAAGCCCCTGTGACAAATTTATGTATCCATTTCTACATTTAATTAAAAAATAAACAACACTGCAACTTCCAGTTTTAACTATGGCAGAGTAGCTGGTGCCAGACTAATTCTTTTATAATCAACCATTAAACTAGAGAGAAGATATGAAGCATTTTAATGTTTTAATTGTCATGGAGCATGGGCCATTAGGAAGCACAAGACTTGCTGACCCCTGAGAGAAGAGAAACTCTTGAGGAAGACCCCAGGTGTCTACGTGGACAAAAATTCTGACTCTAAAGCAGTGAAGTGAAATCCAAGCAGACAAAGTCCCACTGGGCTGAGGAGACAAAGTTTAGAATGCGCAGCGTGAGAGAGAGCAGGGAGGTGTGCAGAAAGGAGCCCAGAAGTCGTCCAGGGACCACCCCCGCCCACGAGTCCTTGGCCGAGGGTGCATGACCAGTGAGACTAATGGAGGCCTTGCTAAGCAATGACTGTGGACCTGGGAATAGAACAGAAATAATAGAGCTGGGACAGAGGTGGCCTTCAAGTCAGGAGGGCCACGTGAATACCTCATTTTCAATTTGATGGCAAATTGAGATGCCAGAAGTCTGCATGTTAGGAATAAAGACCACGCTCTTGAGAGACTTACTTTAAATCTGCCCCCCCAAAGCCAAAAACAAAGTTCTGACAAGAGTGGCAGAGGGGTTAGAGTCTTGAGGTTGAGTCCTGGTAAGTGAGCGTGACTTGGAAACATGTTTTACAGACATGCTTAAACAAAATGTAGATTTAAGCCTACATGAGTTTAATGGAATTAGCCAGTAATTGAACTGTGTAGTAGGAAAAAACATCAACACCTTTTCAAGAAAGATAACAGAATCTAGAGTTTTCTACAATATCCATTATATTGTATATTGTATAATGTATAATACTTAGACATGCAAGAAACAGGAGAATATAAACCTTAGGGGAAAAGTGAATAACAATGACTGTAAGATAATTCAGATTTTAAGTTTACTGGGAAAAGCCATTAAATTATCTGTTATAAACATATTCATAAATTAAAAAAAAAAACAACTACCTGCAAACAATTAAAGGAAAATATGCTCTTAATAATTAGTCAGATTACCTTGGCAGAAATGTGGACACTGTAAAAGACATAACCAAATGGAAATTACAGAACTGAAAATCCAAGAATTAAAGGAAATTAACTGATTTGACATGCAGAAAATAAAAAGATGGAAGAAAAATGAAGAGGAGCTCAGAGATCCAGGGGGTCATAGCACATAGTTTTGCATATATGTATTGAGAGTTTTATGTAAAGAAAGAGGATAATAATATGGAAGAAAAAAAATGTATTAAAACAAGTAGTGATTGACAATTCTCCATATTTTAAAGAATATATTGGCTCATAGATTGAATACCCTCAGTGAACCTCAAAAGAATAAATGCAAGGGAAATTGCACTTAAGAACATCATAATCGAAAGTTAAAGTGTTGTTTTTCTTTTTTAAAAAAACACAGTATATATAGGGGAACAATGATCTGAAAAATAGTTGACATTATCATCTGAAACAATGGAAACCAAAAGTCAGTGTAATGACATGTTAAAATGCTAAAAAAATGTCAATTCAAAAATCTGTATATAGCAAAAAACCCCTAAAAAATTGAGGTTGATATAAAGATATTTTCAGATGAGGAAAAACTGAAAGAATTTTTCTTCAGTAGACTGGCACTATTAAAAAAGAAAACCTAGAGAATTTTCATTAGGCTAGCTGGGCCAACTTCAGGGAGGAACAGTTTTCCAAAGGATGCAGACATGGAGACCACGTCCTCAAAATTTTACACTATGGAAAACTCATCTAAAAATGTTCCCAAAAGCAATTCCAAAGGGTTGAGATTGAGTACTCGATCTCTAGAGGGAAGAAGCGGACAGGGTGCAAGGCTGTGGCTGCTCACGATCTATGATCCATGTCATCTTTTCAGAAAATGTTTTTGGGTCCACCTCTTGGTCAAAGCTGTGGCTCTATTGAGGAACTGCAATCTCTGGAGCAGGGTATTTGTCACGAGATGCTGGGGATAGTGTTTAGCACAGACAGTCACTGAAGGGAGAGGTCAAGCCAATGGATTGAGTGGCATAAAGCTAACGTAATACCTGCTTATGTATTGATGTATCTTTGTAATTTAAGAAACATTTGTTGAGGAGGCCTTCCATTTCAGGTAGAGGGGACCGCTGGTATTTAGAAGATAGAGGCCAGAAATGCTGCAAAACATTCTATAAAAACAGAACAGCCCCCACCAAAAAAGAATTCTCCAATCCAAAATGAGGTTCATGCTGAGGTGGAGAAACCCTGATATAAAATAAGTTGTGCAAAAGATGATAAAATTTGCTCAGGCGGGAAGTGCTGGGGACACAACGATAACTGAACTTCCTGGTCTCAAGGTTTAATGTTGGAACGCTGGTGTGAGGCACAGAGAAATGTCTTTGTAAGCTTGATCACAGAAACGGAGCTGAGGATAGAGACTCCTACCTGGATGAGGGGAAGAAGCAGATCACACACAGCTGCTCCTTGTAAATTGCATCCCCATGGTGTAGGGTTCTACTTGAAGTTCATGCATTGACTGAATTAAAACTGGTAGCATATAACAACTTAGAGCTTCCAGGGAATTATTTCTTTCACCCCCATTTGTCAACCTTTATATAGACTCTTAGATTTCAGCAGTGTAAGCTTACATGTCCCCTGATGTAAAAATCTGTAATTTTTGTTAAAAATCTGTAATTTTTGTTCCACCTTTTGTCTTTAGCCCTAGGAAGCATTTCTAATAAAATTAGTCCCTGCCCTACGGACTGTGATCTCAGTCTCTCAAAAGAAGACCATGAATTACACAATAAGGTAAGATAAAGGCAAGATAAAGGTTATCGAAGTTGGCTTTGGCCATGAAAATGGCGGTCCTGATTACTGACTATAATTTCTTAAAATATATTTCCAGGTAGAAAGTAATGTAGTCTTCAAGGCAGGTTTTGAAGTATGGACATACTAAAGCAGGTGATGTCTGTGAAATCAGTAATGCTAATATTATTTTTTATTGCATCTGAATCAAACTTTAAGCTGTTGAAGGCTTTAGCTAAATTAACTAGTCTACAATACAAGACTTTCCAGCTTGAGCAGGGGATTAGAAAATGAGCTGATTGTGCTGTTTTATTTGACATGATCATGGCTGCCATGAAGTCTATCCAGAAACTATCTTGATAAATTTATACAAATTACTCAGCCTGGGTTTCCAAATGTGGGTTAAATTAATTTTACAGTATAACTGGATCCCGTTTTTGGATGTCTAACCTTTTCCAAAATCTGTGTCTACAGAGACCAAATGACTTCAAGTTTTAAATATTCAGAAAATTTAGTCTGGCTAGAAAATTAAAGTAAAAGAATTTCTCTCAACCCTGCCTTTTCCCATACAAATTATCTGAGTCATTACCTTTATACTAAAGTATGTTAACTAAATAAACACAGATCTATAGATCCAACTTTCATGCCATTCTCTAAAGCCTGATGTTTTCACCTCTAAATAGTGGACCACCATCAAATCAAATACATGAGTTTTTAATGTCTAGAAGACAACTTCACAGCATTTACAATTATGGTTGTTTCTATATTGCAGAAGAAGAAAGCATAAGAAATCAAAAGTTTAGTGACATTTGTAATAGTGAAAGGTAACATTTACTGAGTGCTAGGAAATTACTTGATGCCAGAAAATGTTCTCAGGTCCTCCACATCAAATGACTGTCTTACTCTCACTACAAACTAATGGGATAGATACTTCTAGTGACATAGTTTTGCCTGTCTTGCAGGTGAGAAAAATAGGGGGCATGAGATGGAGTAACTTAGCCAAAATAACGTTGTTAACAAGTATATAGCTGCGCTTTGAATCCAGACTGTTGCTAGAATACATTTTTGTATCTATCATGAAATAATACATCAAAATTTTATTCCTTTGTCCTTTCAGTCAGGTATATGTTTTCTACTTCTTGGGCCTTATAATCTTAATACAAGGAATAGGATATGGAAACCAAGAACAATTTGCTGGGAAGGAATAAAATGTTACATCCTCTATGAAAAGTAAAAGTGTTAGTCGCTCAGTCGTATCTGACTCTTTGCGACCCTGTGGACGTAGCCCACCAGGCTCCTTTGTCCATGGAATTTTCCAGGCAAGAATACTGGAGTCAGTTGCCATTACCTACCTCTCCTCATAGTATTAGGAATTAATTTGAATGTTCAGTTGATATTAAAGACTCTGACTCAGGCAATCGATAGGGTAGCTGTGGGGAAATTGAGGTTAATGCTGAACGTCACATGGGAAGCATTTGTTTTTCAAATTTATTTACACAGTGAGAAAAGAATCACAAGGTGTGGCCCAAGGTGGTCAGGAATACTAGTTGTCATCCAGAGTTCAGAAACAGAAACCCCAGGGGGTTAGTTACCCAAGGAGTCTTTCTGGGTAAACCCTGAACTGCTCAGCCAGATACAAGTACCTTGTTTTTCCCTGGATGCTACTGATGTTAATAGAAACCCAGTCCTGAAAAATTCTCTGGAACACACATCAGAAATGAATTAAGGAAAGAGGAAATAGTATTCTTGCTGGAAGGTCTCAGGATTTAGGCTGGATTTAATTTGGGCTGTGGGTTTTTATTTTTTAGATGATATAACAACACTGGTGAAACTGAACGTGATGTCATATGCGTTTGCTTTGATACTTCAGAGGCACCTGGTGTTTGGTGTTGTTATTGTTGATGTGCAGTCCTGTGACCCTGTAAACACAAGCCTCTGAACACAGTCTATCTACCCCGAACCTTCCTCCCCAGCTTTCTTAAAAATGGTGCCGCTCGCATCTCGTCTTCCCAGGGCAGTTCAAAAGCATTCGTAATCCCCAGGATTCAGCTCTTTATTCACCATTTCCTCTTTCTAAGGCTCTCCCTTTTGATGACACAATCCCCCTGCTCTTCATCTGGCCAGATGGGCAGATGAACAGTGCTCCCCAGAGCTCTGCACAAAGACCCTGTAGAGAGTCTGGGAGAATAAAATGCTGCCGTCCGCGGAGCCTGAGTCCCACACCACAGCGGTTTGCCCAGCGCCACTGCCCTGGAACCCCTGACCCGTGAACTGCGAGCTTTCTTTCTCCCCAAACACTGACCTTCTCATCGGTCCCAACATCATCACCCTTCTTCATGAACCAAACGGTCCATGGAAGGAATCATTGCTTAGAGGCAAAAACCTTTGAGCAACTAGGTGGGGATCCTGGACTTTGCTTTCTATCGTGTAGCAATATGTAGTGCCTGGGTTCCCAGTCATGTCTGACTCTCTGTGACCCCATCAACTGTAGCCCTCTAGGCTCCTCTGTCCTTGGGATTCTCCCAGGAAAGAATACTGGAGTGAGTTGCCGTTTCCTTCTCCAGGGGATCTTCCTGACCTAGGGATCGAACCTGCGTCTCCTGCACAGCATTGGCAGAAGGATTCTTTGTCACTGAGCCATCTGGGAAGCCAGCTTTCTATCATAGAACACAATTAAATGGGTCTTTCATTTCATGAGCTGGACAACTTTGAGACTTAATATCTTAAGTCTAAAATCTTAATATTATCTTAATATTAATAAATCAATAATACCTTAAGACTTAAATCTTCCTATAGTATTTTCTACTTAGCAGCTTCGTAGAAATGCTGTAATAAATGCTGAAGAAAGGATGTTAAGTGCTCTATTGAATATTTCATCTAATGTTCCTCACCCATGGTATATATTGCATTGTACCAGATGCTACTTAGATCCTTAATATTCTAAAGCATGTTAAGTTCTATCCTTTCCATCCCCAGAAAGAACCTTATTGCTATTATATCATTTGGTCTTCATAAAAAGTCGTCCTGCAAAAATAAATAAATAAATAAATTAATTAAAAAAAATAAAAAATTAAAAAAGAGTCGTCCTGCGATCTATATAAGACAAATATCTCCATTTTTCAGATTAAAAAGCTCAAATTCAGGGACTTTGAGTTTCCAAAGTGGTGAGAAGACTTGAATGAGTGTCTTCTGACCACCACTTGGTGTGCTTGTGATTACAGCACGATCCACTTTACTTAGCTTTTCAAAATCCTTTAAAACACTTCTTGGCTCTCTTCTGGGGCTGTATTTGACAGAGCGCACGTTTATTGCTTCCTCACTGATGCTCTGTTTGAGTGGCAACCCTCACACCAAATTTTCAGCTCATGAACTTGAAAACCACATTTTAAATTCTAGCAATTTATATTGATATTTACATGTTTGCTGTTGATTTCTGCAATGGGTCAGACTCTGAGTAGCCATATTATGTGAAACGAGCTGTTTCAGAACAAATTTGCACCAGTTTCTCTCTTAAAGTATAGAAATTCATCTTTCTGAAGACAATGCTGAGGGAAGAATTTTTTTTTAAATGATGATGATCTGCTTTGGCTTCAGGAACTTAAGAGTTGTAATGGGTCAGAGGATCTATTTTCTGTCTTTTAAGTGTTGATGATGTCCTTACTTAAGCATCAGTTCTTAGGTGCAGATTCATATTTGTGCTTGATGAATTGTTTAGATTGTTAGAGTATATTCATGTTAACGGATTCACACACTCTGGTACTCACTCAACCTAGGAATTTGGCTGTGTATGTTTACTTCTTTTTAGATTTAAAACTCTTATTTTCTTCGGGTTTATTTCTTTGGAGATGAACAAATGTCTGTGACTTTATGTCTTCCCAAACACCCATTTTAAAGGATTTTTAGTACATTAACTTGAATATTCTTAAATGAAATGCTAAGATTCAGAAAATTTTTGCTATTTTTAGAGTTAACAGGTATATATCTTTGTGACTTAGCATCTGGAGGTAGTCCACTGTCATTATTGTAACATAAGTACTTAATGAAGTGACCTCTTAACTCTTGAGTATTTACTGTGTGCTCATTACCATGTTAGAAGTTGTGAAAAATACAAAGAAATATACAACATAGCATTGTCGCCATGAGTATATTTGAACAACTGAGATAAATATTGGCAGATTAACGAAATTGAAAGCAATTTAGTACACTCTATCATAAAACACCTATATTTTAATAAATCAGGAGTATTGCTGGGTAAACCAAATCTTTGATATAATTCTTGGTAGCAGTTTCAACTTTTTATTCAGCAAGATTGAATGAAGTGTCCAACATCTTATAAAGAAATACCATCACATTTGAAATTTGAATGACTATAAAAGCATACGGTAAGCAGTCCAGTAAGGTGTGCAAATCAAATATTTTTAATTGGGACAGTTCAAAGCTCTCATATATTTTAAAGAATTCCAGCAATCCTCAAGCTACTCATGAATGAAATGGAAGAATTAAAAATGCCAGCAGTAAATGATCTGACCAATGATTCTATAAGTCATTCTGGGAAAATTGTCGCTGAAACCAGGTAAATGTTCTGTCTGCTCTTTGGTAATTTTCCCCCCATTTATTTCATTTCATTCTTTGAAGGAAAAACCAACTGCTTGGAAAACTGGAGAAACTGAAGACTATTCACAAGACACATCTTATTTGGAGGAGCTGGAAAAACACAAATTTTCAGTTTGGTGAGTAACTCTATCCTGTCTTTCTATTTAAATTTTTGAATTCATTGAATTCAACAAATCTTTACTTATTCTCAGAGAAGGCAATGGCACCCCACTGCAGTATTCTTGCCTGGAAAATCCTGTGGACGGAGGAGCCTGGTGGGCTGCAGTCCATGGGGTCGCGAAAAGTCAGACATGACTGAGCGACTTCACGTTCACTTTTCACTTTCATGCATTGGGGAAGGAAATGGCAACCCACTCCAGTGTTCTTGCCTGGAGAATCCCAGGGATGGGGTCACACAGAGTCAGACACGACTGAAGTGACTTAGCAGTAGCAGTTACTTATTCTATTCTTTTATTATACATTTATTCGACAAATACTGATTGTGTGCTTATTACAAACTGTATGATTTGTACCCTGATTTGGGAAAGCTCCTAGTCCAATGAAGTCTATATATATTTAAAAACATCAGTGTGATATGATAACACTTTTTTTTCTTCAAAAAATGCACACACACACCTGGAGAAGAAGATAATCTTGAGAATAGGGAAGGATTTTCAGAAGTTTGAGCCAGATCTTGGGAAGAATATGACAGTGGAGAAGTGTTGACGATTTGGGGTGGGCAGTGTCTAGAGACAGGGTTGGGAGGAAGGCTGGACTGATACCCACTGCAAACCTTAGTTCACTTAAGCAAATTGTGGTTACGGCTCTCTACCTGGAGGTGTGTGTGCAGATTTAACTGTCTATGCAAGCATGTGTATAGCATACAGGAAAATATACACGTAGAAAAGTGAGCAGTGGAAGTTCTCAGAGGTAAGGAGTACAGGATTTTGCAGTGGTGGGATTCGTCGAGGATAAAGGGAGGAACCACAGTAAGTGGAGCCGTGACGTGTAGAGTAACTAGGAAAGAGGACGAAATGGGGTAACTTGTCCAAGTCCATCTGGGCCAAACCACTGCCACCCTGTCCCTCAAGACCCCTGCCTGAGGGGCTTTCCCCCTGGGCACTTATCTGCCTTATGGCTTGGTTTCTGAAGATTTTTCTCTTACTCTTCCATCTTGGAACCATCAGCAGGAGGAATGGTAGCAGCTCAAATTTCCCTTATCCAGTCACGTTTTTATAAGTTTTCATTTAAATGTAGAAGTCTCAGTACCTTCACCAGTGCTTTCCTGGAGCCGCTGAATTATGGTCTCCAACCACACCAATGAGTGGTTCTCCGGATTAAGAGATGTGGGCTTGGGACTTCCCCAGTGGTGCAGTCGTTGACTCCTTCCATTGCAGGGCTCAATCGCTGGTGGGGAAACAAAGATTCCACATGCCATGGTGTGGGGCCAGAAGTTTTTTCGGAAAGAAAGAGGGATGTAGTCTTGTGCTTAAGAAACATCAAGCAGGAAGGGGAGTCAAAGAGGCCAGGAGATAAGAAATCACTCAGTTCAGTTGCTTAATATGCATGATCAAACTAGGTCTATTTTCTCCTGTATCAAGTTGGAATAATAATAGCTATAATGTAGAGCTTTTTGTTTATTTTGAAAACTGAGAGATAACTTAAATAAGATAGCCTGGACAATCACTTGGTATGTATAGATTTTTGATAAAGGCAACTAATATTAATAATAATAAATTTTGAGAAAATGTCTTTTCCAAAGGTTAAAATAGGAAGCGTCAGTCACAGGAGGATGTGCTCTTCAAACACACCAAGCTCTTTGTAACATCAGGGTCTTTCCACTAGATGCCTCCTTTGTCTGGAATGTTCTCTGGGATCTTAGTAGGATGGAAACATGTACTGCAGGTCTTAGTATAGATTTTCCTGCTCCAGAGAGTTCTTTCCTGAAAATCCTACATAAAGAGGTTCCCACCCCGCTCTGGTGGTTTATTGGGTCATAACTTTCTTCCTTTAAAGTACTTACCACAGTTTAAGTTAATTATTTATATTTATTTTCATGTCATTTATTTGGATATTTCTGTTTTCTCTCACTAAAAAGAAGCTGCAGGCAGACAGAAACCCTTTGGTAAAAATTTGTGACTAGAGGATAGTTGCTTTACAATGTTGTGTTTACAATGCTCTGCTCTACAACAAGGTGAGTGAGCTATGTTGCTGTTGCTGTTTAGTTGCGAAGTCATATCTGACTCTTTGCAATCCTATAGACTGTAGCCTGCCAGGCTCCTCTGTCCATGAGATTTCCCAGGCAAGAATACTGGAATGGGTTGTCATTTCCTTCATATATTCCCTCCCAGAAACCCTACTTGTCCTATCACTCTTGGATCTCTAGACCCTAGTTTTAAAATACCTGGGTTATAATAGACAACCAGTAAATATTTATTGGGTGAATGAATAAGAGGGTAAATGAGTGATCACTCAGCTTGTCTCTCTCTCCCAGCCCCCTTGGTTGTCTTACCTGTTTATTCACTTCCAACCTCTCCTTTGTCTTGAAATTGCTATCATTTTTTTTAAAGGAATATGGGGTAATTAACCACTCCAAACATTTCTTTTAAACCAAAGTTGAGGATATGGGGGCTGCTGAGACCTCTATAATCACGTTGTGTTTTAAATGGCCTGAGATACAATCTGAACAATTTCCTTGATGTTTTATTAGAGCTGGTAAATCATTTATGGGGGCAGCCTTTACCTAAATCCTCTCCAAATCCCCATAAAAGGCATTTAACACAGAATACTGTACTACCCAGCTTCAAAGATACATGTGACTTTGTGTGGGAAGTAGTTGCTGCCCCTGCACAGAGAGTCTCAGCATAGATATCTCTCTCTCTCTCTCTCTCTCTCTCTCACACAAGGTCTATCTCTTCTCCTTCCCATCCCAACAACGTGCCTCCTTTCACATGCCGATGCTGATAAACTTGGTAGATTGCTAAAACTTCAGTAAATCACAGCTTCTGTTGTTTTCCTCTGTTAACATACTAGACCTTATCTAGTCAAATGTAACATTATCTTGTTTGTAGCTGAAATGTTAACATACTAGACCTTTATCTAGTCAAATGTAACATTATCTTGTTTGTAGCTGAAAATCATTTTTTTTCAAACTTCCAAAATATAATATTAAGACCGTTAGATTTTCTCAAACAGAAAGAGAGCCAACTAAGTTGCCTCTGAGTGTGGAAAATGGAACCTGCTTCCAGCGTGTCTCAGCGCAGTGGGCCTGCCGCCCATAGCGTTGGCTGATCATAGACGGAAGTCCTCTGGGCCCTTGCTTGGTGGGGTTTGTATCCCAGTCGCCCCTTCTGAGCCTCAGAGCTAACACTTGCAGGATTCTTAAGTTTCCTCTTTGAGATCTTCTATGTTGTTGTGAGCAGATGCCCCTCTTCTGCTCATATATTATTTTCTAATTTTTGAAAAATGTTACTGATTTATTTCTGGCTGCGCTGGGTCTTCATGGCCTGTGAGCTTTGTCTGGTGTGGTGAGTGGGGGCTCTTCTGCAGTTGCCATGTGTGGGCTTCTCATTGCCGCGGCGTCTCTTGTTGCGGAGCACAGTCTCCAGGCACGTGGATTCAGTACTTGTGGTACATAGGCTTAGTTGCCCTGCAGCATGGGGCGTATTCCAGGACCAGGGATCGAACCCATGTCCCCTGCATGGGTAGAGTCCCCTGCAGACTCTCAGCCTCTGGACCACCAGGGAAGTCCTTATGCTTCCATCTTAGATAAAACGAGATGTCCAAGGTGTCCCTGGATACTTTAGTACTAGATGATTGATTTCCATCTTTACCCCTTTGGTGGTGGGCTCTGACTGTTATGTGCTCCCTTTACACTCGGCAGACCTTTAAGTGCCACTCAAAACATGGTCATTAGGTGTCCAATAAGCCCCCTCCCTGACTAGTGCCTGCTTGTTGTTACTTGTCAGCTCCAACTCTTTGTGATCCCATGGACTGTTGCCCACCAGGCTCCTCTGTCCATGGGATTCTCCAGGCGAGAATACTAGCGTGGGTTGACATTTCCTTCTCCAGGGGATCTTCTCCAACCAGGGATGGAAACTACATCTCTGATGTCTCCTGCATCGGCAGGCAGGTTCTTTACCACTAATGCCACCTGGGAAGCTCCCATCGGACAGTAAGTTTAATAAATTTCACAGGAATGGAGAGTAAGTCTGTTGTGTCCTTCCTGGCCTATGCTCAGTGATTGATAAATTGCAAGCACTTAATATTTATTGAATTAATACATAAAAAATAAGAGTAAATTAAGAATTTTGGCGTTTCCAGAAGGAATTTTCTGGAGAAAAGAGCAATGGGACAAAATGACTGTAGATGTTGTGGGTCTGTTTGTCCATGGTGACTATTGTTTCTATCCGTTGAGGATGTTTCTTCCCTAAGAATTCCTTCACTCACCCTCTTTTATGATTGCAAACCCCCCAGCTACTCACATACCACCTACATAGCCCAAGGCATTGGGCTGTGGCATGTATTATGTTCACAAATGTGATCAATTCAGGGGTAGGCACACGATCTCAACTAGGCCCTCCAAGCCTTTTCATAGGATTTTATATTTTGATACTTGGTGATAGAAATTCCTTCCCTTCTATAAGCTCTTAGGCTGAAACGATTTAAGTCTGATACTCTCGGTGGCATGGCCACCAATTTACCCTCCCCAGTTCCTGTAGTGCCTCTTGTTAATATTTGGCATTTGAAACCAATGGATGTAAGAGTCTTACCAGTGCTTTGTCGGGGACACATATTCTGCTCTAGTCCAGCTAATGGAAATATGTCTTCGGAGCTACCTCAAGTCCACATTAATGATGAATAAAATTATATGCATACTTCACAACACATTTGTTGTTGTTCAGTTGCTAATTCATGTCCAACTCTTTGTGACCCCATGGACTGCAGCTTGCCAGTCTCCTCTATCCTTTACTATCTCCTGGAGCTTGCTCAAATTCATGTTGAGTTGGTGATGCCACCCTACTATCCCAACCTCTGTCACCCCCTTCTCCTCTTGCCTTCAGTCCTTCCCAGCATCAGGGTCTTTTCCAGTGAGTCAGCTCTTCACATCAGGTGGCCAAAGTATTGGAGCTCCAGC